CGCCTAGTGGAGAAAATGCCAGGGCCAATGTCCGTCCTGAGAGGCAACAGCTGGAATGAGAAGCTGGGGCAACTAGAGGCTTTGGGTAAGAGAGGGCACTGAAAATGCCTTTCTGATTTGTTTCTACATCCCTGATCTCCCGAAAAGCAAGACCACATTATACTAGCTGCAGTAATACAAAGCCTGCAACAAAACTGTGAGGGACCACCTTCTTTGAAGGCTTCTTTGGCTCAATTGATAGATCACCTGAACAGGGAGAAGGGTGTGGAGTTGTGCCATTTCATTGCCTTCTACTTTATATTTTATTTGTGTTTGTTTTTATATCCGAAGGAGGCTTGAAAGGTCCCTCCACCCTTTGTAGCTATATGTTTGAAATTCAGATCCTGTCTGCTTGAAAAGTTTCTCTGGTGACTAGAAAACCAGACTAATGAAATGGTGATGTCACAAAACCTAGAGGGAAAATTTTTCAAGTGGGAAGAGAAGAGATGTTCATTCAAATCCACGTGTCACTGTCCTGCTTCACTTTCTGTTGTTTCCTTCTCCAAAGCTTCAAGAGCAAAATTAATACCACTGTGGAGATGACATTCTTCCTAACAATTCTTCACATCCAACCATTGTGGGAAAGAGAGACACCTAAGAATGAACAGTCTCAGAGATTCCCAACATATCCTGCAGTAATTCCACTCCTGACATATATAAGTTGGAATCAGTCAGGGAGGTATATAACTTTCCACCCTTCCTTAGGCATCATAAAGACACTGATAAGGGAACACCTGTTCATATTTGCAGGGTGAAAGGCCAGAAAGAATTGCACAATGAAGCTTGACCTCCTGCACAGCACAGCCCATATATTTCACCCAAATGTTGTGACCAATGGCTTCAGTTAAACTAAAGTACTTTAGTCTGCAGGATAGTAAACTGCTGTGTGCCAAAGGCAGATTACTGCACAGGCCCACAAGGCCTATGCCTAGAGGCCTTGGCTAATTTGGGGGCCCCTGAAGGAGCGCCTGCTGCTCCTCCTCTTCCCCCTGAGGCCCCACTCCCTGGCCAGGCTGCAAACTAGGGCCTGGTGAGTACATGCCAAA